TCAGAACCAACTTATAACTGACTCTCCACCGTGTTTTCAGAGCCCATAAATCACACAGGTGAAAAATTACTTTCTCCTATAGAGTAGCTGGTGGATTTGAATGAACCACCTCCCTTTGGTTTGGCAGCACAACTTTATACCCACTAGACCACCAGAAAGAAAGTCATACACTTCACTGAACATTTTTGAGACTTGGACTCACTTTGAGCATATCGTTGGGAGAGACTGTTTGCAAGAGAAGGCCATCGTCTTGGATAAGTAGAAGGGAGCAAAGGTAAGGACAATCCTCAGTAGATTGATGCCGTAACTGCAACCATGGGCACAAGCACCAATGAGGGAAGATGACACGGCCCAGCTGTGTTTCATTCTGTTATGTATTGGTATTAGGTGCTGTCATGTAGAGTATGACTCATAATGACCTTATGAACAACAGATCTGAATCCTGTCCTATCCTGTACTATCCTCGCAATCTCTGACACAACGCAAGCCCATTGTTTGAAGCGATTTTATCCACTGGTCACGCGTTTTCCTCTCCTTCAGACTCCCTCCACCTTCCCCAGCATGAAGTCCTTCAGTAATAACTTCTCCTAGCAACAGGCCCAAAATACGTGAGATGAAGCTTTATCATCTTTGCCTCCACAGTGCACTCTGGCTGCACCTTCTCCAAGACATACCAGTTTGTTCTCTTGACAGACCATGAGACATTCAGCACTCTTCTCCAGCACCACCGTTGAAAAGCATCAACTCTTTTTCTGTCATCGGATATGCATAGTCAAGTCAAATCAAGTCGTTACCATTGAGTCTGAACCCCCTTTCCGTTGCCTCTCCAGTGGCTTTGCAGAGGCTATAAATCTTGCACAAAGAGGAGCAGCTGGTGGATTCAAACCACCCACCTTTGGATTGGCAGCCCAATCCCCCATAAATCAGAGCCAAGTAACATAACAACACAGTTCAGAACAGATGTTGATACATGTGCATTTGTTTGCCGAGTTCCTCTCCCCACTACACTCTGAGCTGCCTAAGGGAGCTTTGTTCCACATCGCCCTCTTGGAGTGATACTTGACCAGGACTCGAAGGCACAGGTCAGGGAAATGCAGAGCGAAGACTGGAAGCCGGTCTCCGTTCACAGCCACGTGCTTGACGTATGCATCGCCCCAGTTTCCAGTTGTGTGTGTGATGAAAGCCCTGAGCACAGCAGTGGTGGAGCCAGCTCATTTCACGACCCCTGGAGGCTCCCCGGGCGGCCAGCGGTTTCCACAGGCAGAGGACAGTTGACCATGGGGGGAGCCTGGGTGTTCTCTCACGGTCATTTCCTCCTGCCGTCTGTTGCCTGCCAGTCAGTTCTGACTCAGCGACCCCACAGCGCAGAGTTCAGCTGCCCCACAGGGGGTTTTGAGGCAATGAATCTTTCCCGAAGTAGATGGCCTCATCTTTCTTCAGTGGAACCTCTGGGGTTTTGAACTGCCCAGCTTCTGATGAACAGACAAGTGCTTTAAATGCTACACAACCAGGACTCCAAAATGTCCACCCCCAAAACCCAGTCAATGCCGACCTGTGGGGACCCTCCTCAGAGGGTAGAGGAGGAACAGCCCTGTGTGGTTCTGAGGCTGTCATTCTTTATGGAAACTGGAGGTTTCACCTTCTTCTCCCTGGCTGCTTCGAACTGCTCACTGTCTTCTCCGCTGCCAGATGCTTAAGCACTGTGCCACCAGAGCTCCTCGCAGACAGGAACGTGGGGAGGGGAGGTGCTTGCTGTAGCTCTGGGTGTATGAAGGGAAATTAGTGGTACGGTTGGCTGTGTGTTTAAAGGTAGATCCTGTTTATTTATTTATTCTTTGTTAATCCTGAAAGTTATGCAGGTCTGTTTATAGGGAACTTAAGCAATTCAGAAAAGCAGACGAAACCTTGCCTGGTCTTACCTCCCACAGACAACCATTTAAACAATTTAGTGTATTTCCTCCAAGGCGGAGCTGTGTATACTTCTGCCCTTTTTTGGAGGATGGGGAGAAGAGAAGAGGAGGCATAATTCTGATCCTACAGTACATTCAGCTGCACTTTCTGTTTTCCTCCTTGACCATAGTGTGTAAATATTTTGTTATGAAAGATACTTCAGACACTAATTTTAATGACAATGAATGACATTATGAGGAGTTGTATATGCTTTTCTTAATTATTCTCTTCTCCTGTTTACCCTTTTCACGTATCTTTCTTACCACTCCTTACTTGACTGCTTTGTGAGTCTGTTTTTTGTGTCGTTTTTAAGTTGAGTACGATTCGTAGTCACCCTGTGAACAGCAGACCTAAATCCTGCCCCCTCCTGCCCCATCCTTATCATACTGGACACATTTGAGGCCATTGCCACAGACACTGGGTCCGGCCAGCTTGGTGAGGGTCTTCCTCTCCTTTGCTGACCTTCTGCCTTTCCAAGAATGATAACCCTTCCCAAGGAACAGCCTCTCCTAACAACACACCCACAGTATTTGAGATGAAGCTTCACCATCCTTGCCTCCAAGGAGCACTCTGATCACACTTTTCCTAAGACTTACCTATTTGTTCTTCTGGCAATGTATGGGATATTCAACACTCTTCTCTAACACCACAGCTCAAATCATGGATTCTTCTCCTGTCATCATTATTGATTATCCACTTCTCAGATGCATAGCAAGTGATTAGAAAGACTGTGACTTTAATCAGGCGCATCTTAGTCTTTGATCTCAAACTTTCTCAATGCTATATTCCTGATCTCCTGATTGTTGGTCCCAAAGGTGTTGTTTGTGGATTGAAGCAAAATTAAATAATTGACAATTTCAGTCTTTTCTATTTTTGACACACTATGTTAAAAATTCACCATGGTCTTTGCAATTACTTGCTGTGCATTAGAGAGCTGGACATAACTAGGGATGAAAAAGGAGAATTGATGCCTTTGAGCTGTGGTGCTGGAGAAGAGTATTGAATATACCACGGACTGCCAGGGAAACAAACAGGTTTGTCCTGGAGAGGGTGGAGCCAGGCTGCTGCTTAGAGGCAAGGATTCTGAAGCTTCGTCTGACATACTTTGGACATGTCTCAAAGAGAGACTAGTCCTTGGAAAGGGATGTCATGCTTAGGAGGGTGGAGGGAGAGCACAGGAGAGGAAGGCCCTCGATGAGATGGATTGATTCAGTGACTGGGGTAATGGGAGTGGGTGTGTCAGACAGTGAGATTGGCACAGGATAGAGCAGGATTTAGGGCTATTGTACATAGGGTCGCTATGAGTCGAAGGCAACCTGATGGCACATAACAACAGCAACGTTAAAAATAGATTATTGTAGAAATAGACATAATGAGGCAACATTTGCCAGTTCCACATTTTTTAGGTGTCAGATTGAATGTGATATCAGTTACATTCACTGTGTTGATACTCTGTATTCTATCTCTTTCTGAGAAGGGAGGATGTCAGTTATGAGGAGTTGTGGTGGTATAGTATTTGTGTCGTTCTGCTAACAAAAAGATCATCAGTTGAATGCCATTAGCTGCTCCTTGGGGAAGAGATGGTCGGTCAATCTCCTATAAAGATTTACAGCCTCAGAAACCTGAGGGTCACTTTGCATCAGAATCAACTTGAAGGGGCTTCTATACTGTGTGCAAGAGGTTTTGAAATCTCTTGCTGCTGCTCCCAGCGTTTTGGAATTTGGTGTTAAGTTTGGGTTTGGGTCTAAGTGAGGATGGTGCAGGATCACATGGGGTTCCACGCTCTTGTACGCAGGATCTCTGTGGTGTGGAACCAACTCAACAGCACCGAACAATTATGTAATGTTTTAATGATTACTCATATTTGGTGGGTCTTGTCATTGGTATGAACAGCACTTTTTTTTTTTTAACATATTTACATGAACAGCACTTTTGTGACTGACACAGTTATGCATTTTTTTTTATACATGGTTAATTGTCTTTCACTGATGTTAGATTCCTAGATTTGGAATAACTGAGTCAAAAGAATGTGGATATTTTAAGTCTTGCTGTTTCTTGCCAAACTAATTTCCTAATGGCTCTCGCCAATTTCAAGTCTCATTAGCAAATAGATAAATGCCCATTTCATCTTAAATATGCCCATTGCACCTGTACAGCAATAAATTACACACACGTGTGTGTGTGTGTGTGTGTGTGTGTGTGTGTGTGTGTGTGTGTGTACACACACACACAAACACATTTGTCCAGCCTTGATGGTATTGGGGGTTATGTGTTGGGCTGGTAACCAAAGGGCAAGGCTTGGAATCTATCAGTTGTTCTGAGTGGGGCAGGGAATGAGGCGGTCTGCTCACTTAAACAATTAATATCTGAAACTAAGTTCACTGCCCTCTACTTAGTTCCAGTGCATGGCAAGCTTCCACTGTGTTTCCAAGGCTGTAAATCTTAACAGGAAGGAGCTGCCACATCTTTATTTCACTGAGCAGCTGGTGGATATGAACTGCCAGCCTTTTGGTTACCAGCCCACCTTGTAACACACTACACAATCAGGGCTCCTCTTTAAGATTACAGCCTTAGAAATGCAATGCAGGGTCTCTAAGCATCGGAATCAGTTCCATAGTAGTGGGCTTGGGTTATAGTAACATAAATATATGTATCTTGAATATGTTCTATATCTTCCTATATAAATATATTTCATAATCTAAATTTTATTACTGTATAAAATAGAAATTATTCTCCAAGCTACATTGCCAACCCAAAGGCATGCAGTTCGAACTCTTCAGCTTCTCCTTGGGAAAAAGATGGGCAGTCCCCTGCAGTGTGCTTTGCCTCTGAAAAACTTGCTGCAGACTCAGTTTGGTTTGGTCAGTCAGAACTGGTTCTGACTTGACAGTAAACAGCAACAACAACAATTTTCTTAGATGGAAAATGGCATCTGTCAGCTGATTGGAGCTAGCTGTAAATACCCGAGTCCACATGATGGTTTTTCACCCCGGGGCTGTGGGTGGGGGGCTGTCCGTGAAGACTACCCTAGCTGGAATTTTCTCTTGCAGCTGACTTTGGTGTGTCTGCCAAGAATCTGAAAACGTTGCAGAAACGAGATTCCTTCATAGGAACGCCTTACTGGTGAGTTGTGCAGCTACTGGAGATTAAACTCAACCTAAATACTCCTGTAGGAAGAAAGGCCAGAGGCAAGGATTCCACATTTGAGGCCACCGGCCCCCTCTTGCTTACTAGTTTGACTTTAAATAGATTGTTTAGCGTCCCTGGGGCTCAGTTTCTTCATCTGTAAAATAGGCAGAGAAGAGCGCCTATTTAATAGGAACATCATAAGGCTATATGTGGAAGGTGCTTTGTTAATTATATAATGAAACTGGAATCCGTTGAAAAATGCCTCCGTTCTAGATTTGATCAGCAAGTTTTTATTGGATGCTCACATGGGAATGGGGGATAAAAAATGAACAACAAAAGCAAGTCCCGTTTCCATCCTCACAGAAGTTACCTGGGAATTCCCTAAATTGCAGCGCTTTCTTTTCTTTCTACTAACACTAATACTACTTTTGGAAACAACTGTTTGTTTCAGTTCCATGCCTAACCACTTCTTGGGTTTTCTTGTGTTCAGTTTTTTTCTTGCACATTACTTTCATCTTCCCAGTCTAGTTAGGCTCCTGGCTTGCTTGCTTGTTACTCTTTATTTCTGTCTCTAACCTTTTATTCCTGTTTCTCCTTTTCTCTTTCATCCCTTATCTTTATGTCACTGTGTTCTTTCCACCACCCCCTCCCTTTTGCTGGTCCCTCCCCGCCTGCCCCCATCCCGATCCCCAGGATTCAGTGCTCTGGGTTGTTGCCGCCACCTTGTGGTAGACATCAGGAAGTGCAGCAGGACTCAAGTGGAGCTGCTTGGAAGGCATTTTTCGGTGTGAAGGCTGTAAGGAAAACACTGAGATGCAAAGTATTACAAGGAGTGATTCAGGAATGCCTCCAACTATTGGGTGATGGTGGTTCTTGATCTTGAATCTCCACGAGATGCTCCTGGAGCCAGGTTCTGAGCCCTGTGTTGTGCCTTGGTTGGTTCAGGATGGCGCCTGAGGTGGTGATGTGTGAGACCATGAAGGACACCCCGTATGACTACAAAGCAGACATCTGGTCCTTGGGCATCACCTTGATTGAGATGGCCCAGATCGAGCCCCCACACCATGAGCTCAACCCCATGCGAGTCCTGCTCAAGATCGCCAAGTCGGATCCACCCACACTGCTCACCCCATCCAAATGGTAAGGTGTTGGGGGACAGCAGGCCGAGACAGGGCTGGTGGAACTGGGGGATGATATTTAGGACTCTGTTGCCACTGTTAGGAGAGAGGTCAAAGCTGGAACTTGCCATACCTGTCACTCATCACTGGGCCCTCAAATTTCTTTCTGCCCCTGGGCTTTCAACCTGGGATTTCTCTGAAGGAGCAAAGCCCAGCACCAGCGCCCTCATGGCACAAACCTGAGCTGGGAATCTGGCTCGGAGTTAAGTCCTTGCATTGCTTTGCAGGGATTCTCTCAGTGCCTGCCCCACAAGTTGGTTCCTGCCCTCTCTGGTCCCTGTCTCCCCATCCATGCAGTGCTTCTGTGGAGAAACACTGTCAGTGCCCGTGGCCTCTGTGTTTCAGCTTGTGATGTCATTCTTTATCATTCCCAAGAGGGGAATCTGTGATGTAGGGGAGGGTTCCTCCTCTCCCACGCTGCTCTCAGTTCACTGCCTACATGTGTCCTTCCAGGTCGGTGGAGTTCCGCGACTTCCTGAAAGTGGCCCTGGATAAGAACCCAGAAACTCGGCCCAGTGCTGCACAGCTCCTAGAGGTGAGAGGTGGTTCCCCTCTTGAGGTGCAGCTGCCCACTCTGCTCTGCCCCACCTTGCCTTTGGAGGTGGGAGGAAACTGGCCAGCAGAAACAGATGATGAGCTGGAAGGTGAAGGCGTTCCCTGCCCAGCCCAGCCTTGCTCCCCTCCCAGACTGCAGCCCTAAGGAACGTCAGGGATGCTGAGTCGTGGGCATGGCTAGACAGTCCACTCACCACAAAATCTGCCTTTAGATGAGTCCAGATATGAGTGAGTGGCCAGAGCTTTGACTATGTGTTCCAGCAAGTAGCAGTAGTAGTAGGTGTGCAGTAAATACTGGTTAAACAAAATGAATGGCTGCAAATAACAGACGTTGGGTTTTTTTAATGTACTGTTGCCCAGGAAGTCTTATTGAAAATGGGTCTAGAGACCCATTTTGTAATTGGGTTATAAGTCTTTTTCTTGTAGAGGCCCAGGAGTATTCTGTAAACATTTGTTATAAGACTCTTGTCTGAGATGGTATCACCAAATGTTTTTTCCAGTCTGTAGGTTTTCTTTTCATCCTGTTGGGAAAAGTTTTTGATGCACACATGGCTTTAATCTTTAGAAGGTCCCATTCATCAATTTTATCCTCTTCACATTGTGCATTTCTGGTCATATTTGGCAGTGTCTTTATATTTGGACTAACGCTTCTAAGCTTGATCCCAGTTTGTCTCTTATGAACATTATGGTTTTGGACTTTACTCCCAGGTCTGTGATCCACCGTAAGGTGATATTTGTGTATGGGGTAAGATGTGGATGCTGTTTCAGCTTTCTGCAGGTAGAAGTCCAGTTTTGCCAGCACCATTTGTTGAAGAGGTCATAATTTCCTCATTTGATAGCTTTGATTTCCTTATCAAGTATCAGTTGACCATAGATAGCTGGGTCTTTTTCTGGGTTCTCAATTCTGTTCCATTGGTCTATGTGCCTGTCGTTGTACCATGGAAAGAATATTCACAGAGGTAGATATTCGAATGGCAAACAGACACATGAAGAAATGCTCCAGATCATTGGCAGTAAGAGAGATGCAAGTCAAAACCACAATGAAGTACCATTTCACTCCAGTAACAGTGGCAGAGTTTAGCAGGGCAGCAAGTAATAAATGTTGGAGAGGATGTGGCAAGAAAGGAACTCTTATACATTGTTGATGGGATTGTAAAATTGTACAACCATTTGGAAAGGCAGTTTGGTAATTCCTCAAAAAGCTGAACATAGACATTCAATATGACCCAGCTATTTCACTACTTGGAAATACCCTGAGAATATGAGAACTGAGGCACAAACTGAGATTTGTACACCAATGTTCACAGCAGCGTTATTCACCATCACAAGAATATGGAAACAGCCCAAATGCCCAACCACAATGGAATGGATTGAGAAATTATGGTACATTCACACAATGGAATACTATGCAGCATGCAGGAACTATGTTGTTGTTGTTGTTGTTGTTGTTATGTGCTCTTGAGTTGCTTGCGACTCATAGCGACCCTATGAGCGACCCTAAACTCTGCTAAATGGTGCCAATCACACCGTGTCTGATACTCCCATCTCAATTATCCCAGTCACTGAATCAATCCACCTCATAGAGGGCGATTTTGTAAATTATTACCTAACTTGGGAAGGACTGGAGAGCATTATGCTGAATGAACTAACTCAGTCCCACAAGGATAAATATAAAACCATTATTGTAGAATGAGTATAAGGGTCCAAAAGAGGGGTGGGAGAGGGTGAAAGCAGAGGGATGAGGATGTGCAGGGGGAGGAGGGGATTAATCATAGGGTTGCACAATTTGTTGGGTGGGGGGATGAGGGCAATTGAAAGAATTTGTTCATGAAAACAGTGTATTCATATTTTGTAAATAAACTAGTAGAAAATTCAAAAAAATAAATATAACGAATAGATAACCAGGAAAAAATATCTAGAGGCATCTCAGAGCAGCACATCTCTAGCTGGAGAGGAGTGGACACTTGGTAAGTTTTTGCTGACAAACCAATGACAAGTCTTCAGGTTTAGGGAGCAGGGCAATTGTTGTGGTCCCTTCTGTTTACCCTCACTTGAGGGATCTTCATAGATCCTTAAGGCTTATTCAGAAAAAAACAGATGCCAGTAACTAAAACAGTAATCTTAGTAATTCATTTCCAGAAATCTGAATTCCGTTTTGGTCCAGGCTGCTTTAACAGGCAGGATGGCATATGTCAGGGAGCTCTGGTGGCCTTGTGATAAGAAGCTCCACTGCAATCCCAAGCCCTTGGAATCTACCCGCTGCCGTGTGGGAGAGGGATGGGCACTCTCCTCCCATGTGATTTACTGCCTTTGAAAACCTGGGAGGGTCAGCTATGGGTTGGTTCCAACTCGACGGCACACAACAACAGTGTGGTACATGGCTAAGGGCTGGGCTTGCACTAGTCTAAAGCACATTCCTTACCCTATCTGGAACCTCAAAGTTGTCATTGTGATTGACCCCGTGTGAAACAGAATGAATGTGGCCCAGTTCCGTGTCATCTTCACCATCACTGGCGTCCTCCAGTCTGCTGCAGGGGCAGCTGTGGTTTTAATGACTTCTGACCTAGGAGGCTTACCTTCCAGCACTCTACCAGACAATATCCTGTTTGATCAACAGGATTTATACTGGCTAATTTTCAAAGGAGATTATTAAATTGGACAAGATCTGGTGTGAAAAACAATGTATATGAACTTTGTAAATAAACCAGTATAAAAGAAATGAAAACAACAACAATTTTTTAAAAAAGTAGATTACCAGGTTTTTCTTCCAAATCTATCTTTGACTGAAAGCTGCACGGAAACCTGTTTGCTCTAGGTCCTCTACTGTTGTTGTTGTTAGGTGCTGTCGAGTCACTTGCGACTCATAGTGACCCTATGTACAACAGCTCTAAACTCTGCTCTGCCTGTGCCAATCTCATTATCTCCAACACACTCATCCCGATTGCTCCAGTCACTGAATCAATCTGCCTCCCAGAGGGCCTTCCCCTCCTGTGCCTGCCCTCCACCCTCCCAAGCATGATGTCCTTCTCCAAGGACTGGTCCCTCCTTACATACAACATGACCAAAGTATGTCAGACGAAGTCTCAGAAACCTTTCCTCCAAGGAGCAGCCCGGTTTAACCCTCTCCAGGATGAATCTGTTTCTTTTCTTGGCAGTCCATGGTACCCTCAGCACTCTTTTCCAATACCAAAGCTCAAAAGCATCAATTCTCCTTCTGTCCTCCCTGGTTATTGTCCAACTCTCTGACTTATAACAAGTGATTGCAGAGACCATGGCCTGTATCAGACGTACCTTAGTCTCCAGAGAGACATCATTGCTCTTCAGTACTTTGGAGAGGTCCCTAACAGCAGACTTTCCCATTGGCATTACGTCTTTTAATTTCCTGGCTGCTGGTGCCAAGAGTGTTGATTGTGGAGCCAAGCAAACTAAAGCTGTGAACAATCTCAGTCTCTTCACCTACCATCCTGATGCTGCCAGGTGGCCCAGTGGTGAGAATCTTTGTCTTCTTGACATTGATCCTCAATCCATATTGAAGGCTGCAGTCCCTGACCCTCAGCAACAAGCACTTCAGTGCAGTTTCCAGCAGCATAGCCACGTACGTGCAAGCCACCACAATATAACACATGCGCAGATACGTGGTATAGCTCTAGATAGGAGTAAAAATAGTGCCTACCTCATAGCGTTCTGAGGCATAAATAAGGCAATGTAGAGTGTGTTGTTGTTAGGTGCTGCCAAGGCAAATTCCAGCTCATAGTAACCTTAAGGGCGAAAGAATAAAAGGCTGTCTGATCCCGCATCATCCTCTCAATCATTGTGATGCTGTTGGAGCCCACTGCTGTAGTCCCTGTGTTAATCTATCTCATTGAGGCCCCTCCTCTTTTTCCCTGACTCTCCACCCAGCACTATGTCCTTCTTCAGGGACTGGTCCCTTCTGATAACATGCCCAGAGTATGTGAGATGATGTCTTGCTGCCCTGCGTCTTTTGCTTCTCCTACGACAGATTTGTTCATTCTTCTAGCATTCCTTGGCCTATTGAATATTCTTTGCCAACATCATGATTCTTCTTTGGTCTTCCATATGCACTGTCCAGCTTTTGCATTCATATGAAATTACTGAAAATAATGTTGCATGAGTCAGGAATAATCTTAGTACTCTGTGACATTTTTGCTAACATGTTTAAGATGTCTTTTGCAGCCAGTTTGCCCAGTGCAATAGGTCATTTGATTTTCATGACTGCTGTTTCCATGGCCATTGGCTGCAGAACCAGATAAAAGGAAATCCTTGACAATTTCAATATTTTCTCCCTTTCTCATGGTGTTGCTTGTTGACCCAGTTGTGAGAGTTTTTATTCTCTTTATATTGCAGTGCAATGCATCCCTGAAGTTTTATCTTTGTCAGTAAGTGCCTCACATCTTCTTTGCATAGCGCGTGGAAAGCACTCAGTGAATTTGCCTGCTGTCATTGTTACCCTCATAATTACCAAAAAAAAGAAAGAAAGAAAAAATGAGATGGTAAACTTTTTAAAAACACATGGGCAGTAAAACCAGCCTCATAAAAGTCCTTTCTGACCTCAGACTCAGCCGATGTTGTTCTGAAACTTGGTGCCATCAACACATGATGGTCATGAAATGACTTCCCCAGCTTTAC